TTACAGGTTTTGAAGAAACATAAGAAGGGAATTGGATGGACCTCTATGGAAGTGGGAAGAAAAGCAGTGAAGCAACCCCTTAACCCATTGATCTCTGATGTTGTGGAAAAGGATATCAAATTCACGTGCCCATTCGACACTTTTATTTATCGTCCATAATCTCCAGATTCTTCATAATCACCAGAAATTCTTCAAGAAATTTCCAGAATCGTCATCGTATTCATCAGCAGACCTTCAATCTTCATCATCAGATTCCGCTCAAGATCTAACCTGGAGCTTCAACGTAGGTTCAGAATCTTCAACATTCTTCGTCAACACAAATAACCAGAAAACTAAGAGATCCTTCAGGTTCTTCAAGAATCTCCCCCAGCGAACTTCATCGTCCATCACCGATCGTCAAATTATTTCCAGATTCGATAAGCTTCAAAGCGCTCATCCTCAAGATCCATCTTCACCGTGTGATCTTCGTCAAGAACACGGATCAGTCTAAGTCGATGGCGTGGTTGTTGCGACTTTATTGATGATTACAAGATACTTAGGGTTTTGTTGGTTTGAGATGTGAACGATGAGGTTGAGGGAGGTTGAGAGTGGAAGTTCTGAGATGAGAGAGTTTCTGTTAGGGTTGAGATAGAATGAGAGAGAGTTGGAGAAGAAAGAGAGCACGACGGCCATGAACAATGCAAGGGGAGAAGGAGGAGAAGAACTAGGGTTTGTTTTCTGAGAAAGGAGAATGAGGTTGGATCGTGAGGGTTTGAGCCTCAAGCCCAACAGATTTTGGGTCATACCCCATTTTTTCTTGCTACACCCTCCATTTCTGTGTTTTTTTTGGAGGGACTATGGGCTGGGCCCATTGTTTTGCTGATACACCCCCACGTTTTGTGTGTTCTGTGTTCTGTGTGATTGGGCTGGGCCCTGGTTTCTTTTGCTAGCCACGCCCCAGCTCGCTCCAGCACCTCCCCTTCCGGTTTTTGGCAGCAAACAGCTGCTGGGCTGGGCCCAATTTGTTGTTTTTGTTTTTTTTGCTTAATTACCCCTGTAAACCGTGTACCCCTCCCTTTTTTTTTTTTGTATTTTTTTGTATTTTTCATTTTTTTTCTTTTGTTTAAAGATTTGAAGAAGAGAAAAAATATGAGGAGAAAAAGAAATGTAAAAAAGAAATATGAAGAAAAAATACAAGAAAAAGAAAGAGAAAAAGAAATAAAGAAAATAATAAAAAGAAATATATTTGAAAAAAAGAGAAAGAAAAAAAAAGAAATATTGAAAATGAAGAGAAAATAGTGAGAAAAATGGAGAAAAATATATAGAAAAATATGAAAAAATATATAGAAAAATATGAAAAAATATATGAAGAAATATTTTTGAAAAAAGAAAAGAAGAGAGAAAAATAGTTGGAAAAGAATAAAAAAATATTAGCATAGATTTAATTTTTTTTTAGAGTACTTTTTTTCATAGAAATTCTTTTACAATTTTAGAGGTAGTTTAGAATGTCCACTTGTTAGGGGACTTTTCCATTTGATTTTTCAGGATAGGATAAGATAGTATTTCCTAGGAGATTTATTTTCAGCATTTAATCTTTGTAATCATTTTTCAGAATGTTAATAAAATGAGATTTGAGCTGTGGTCCCGAAGTAGCCGAACTACAGCTGCTCTGATTTCTCGTACCAGACGAGAATATGTAGGCATAGGATGCGATATCCTAGCGAACACACTAACGACTAACCTTGTGTTCTCTTGCTGCTGTGCGATCGAGACCTTCCCGCTGACGACTAATTGTTACCCCTTTTTCTCTCTTGCCCGAGTGCATTTGAGACCAGACCGTAGTTTTTCCCATAGGTTCCCGTACCTTTGAAACCAGTTTGATTTCTCACTGCTGTGTGAGAATACCTGTTTAGCCGTAGTTAGCCTGAACTACGTAAAGCTCTGATCTTCCATGCAGTGTGGAAGTACGTAGGCACAAGAAGCGAGGTCTTGGCGAGCCAATTTTCCCCGTAGTCCCGAACTACGTTGACTCTGACTTTCTCTCTTGAGAATACGTAGGCATAGAGTGCGACGCTCTATCGAGTCAATTCCCTTCCGTTTAGATTTAGCAGCCGTAGGTAGATTGTTTGCATCCTTTAGACAACCCAAGCAAGCGTGGATCCCGTCGAGTACGACGGACGTGAGGGGTGCTAATACCTTCCCCTTGCGTAACCGACTCCCGAACCCAGGTTTTGGTTGCGATGACCATACCTTTCCCCGTTTTTTTGCGAGGTTTACTTCGAGCGTTTCCTTTCCCTCCGTTGGGATAAATAACGCACGGTGGCGACTCTTCTGTCAGCCGGCGCTGATTTTCGCAGTAGCGACACTCACCAACATATTAGGGACTTACCTCATGCATTCTATAGTGGCTAGGTACCAACTGGGAATGAACCCGAATTACCACTTTGTTTCATGGTTTATTGTCTTCATCTGTGTGATTTTATTGTGGGATTTTGATTGCTTTAGTAACACATCTATGATGTTTATGACAACATCCATTATTAATGCTTATCCTTTTGTGACCATAAAAACGAGAATTTTGTGAAAATTTTAGCACTTTTTAATATTTTTTTATTTCTTTATTTAACATTTGATAATATTTGATTTGACCTATCTTATTCTGTTAAAAAAAATTTGAGTCATAATTATCAACAACAAAATAATAGGAAAATTAATTACAATTGAATTCAAATGACCGCAAGTGTAACATTATTTTTCAAAATAATAGGAAATTAAATCACATGTTTATTTACACGTATTTTAACGTAGAAATTTGCCACATAAAAAATGCACGATTTTTTTTTTAAAATCTCCATATAGTTATTTTATTTTTGAAAATGAATCTGGGATTTTAGTTTTATCAAAAACTAAGCGTTCAAACGACATTCATGTGTCCGTCTATCCGCTTTTTATAATACTCACAAGCGTAAAATATAAATTGTATTATTAATTTTATTTAATTTTCATTTAATTATTTATAAAATAATAGTAATAGATAATTGTATAAAATTTAATAAAAATTCACATAACCACCATTTATTAAAAAAAGAAGTTAAGATTTAAAATAAAAATAAAAAAAAATATATCTGAAGAAAAAAAATACTACACTAAAATCATGTTTTGCCTTTATATATAGATAGATTTATGTAACTTTTCAAAATTATTATTAGAATCGTATTTTTATCAACCGCATCATGAATCTCTTTAATGTTAATTTAGTTAAAAATTAAAAAATTATATATTTTATAATTACAATATTATAATTCTCATTAAATTTATTTATTATTAATCATACAATATAATAATATAATAAAATTTAAAATATTAAAAAATTAATTATACGATATAATAATACTATCAACTAACAAAAGTTTTGAAAGAAAATCATATTATCAAAAAAATTCAAATTATATTTTCACATTATAAAAACTAGCGTCTAGACGGACACTCGCGTGCCCGTCTGTCTGCCTTTTTAATTAACACACGTAAAAATTTAAATAATATTTTTTTATTTAATATTAATTTTAAATAGAATTTATGTAAAAGTTAATAGTATGAAGTTAGATAGAAAGTTAATAGTAGAAATAAGAAGTTATGTGAAAGATTATAACAGTGATTTCAATGAATGTTATTGTGAGTTATACCTTAAAGGATAAAGTTAGTAGAAAAATAGGTTATACCAAAACACCATATTATGTCTTTATATATGTTATAGAAGATTATAGATTATAGATTCATGCGATCCACGAGTGACTCACTTGCTCGATCATTAATTCAATGACTCAATAGTTTGATCAGATCAAGTTTTATTTAGTTATTTAACTATGTTAACAACATTATTTAAACAAAACATTATTACTCTCACATTCTCAAAATAATTTTTTTTTATTGTTAACAAATTAAGAAATATAATAAGTGAATGAATAAATATAACAATTTTATAAAATTATCTTTAATGGTTACTAATTATATATACATTGTTATAAATGTAAAGTAAAATTTAATGTCTCGAGAATATTTTATTCCAATATTAATTTGGGATAAAATTGATACAAATAAATTAATATTTCATTAAAAAAATAGTAAAATAACACTTATTTAATTTTTTTTTTAAATTAAATATTTTGAAACAGAAAGAATATTAAATATTTTGAGTCTTATATTAGTTTAGTTTTTATCTATTAATATAAATTTTGTAATATTAATTTACTTTTATAAGTTTTTAAAAATAATTAAAGCCTATTTTAATTTAAAATATAAATATAAATATATAATAATAACAATAAAATTACTCATATTTATTTAAATAAACGATGATAAATTTAAAAAGGTTTTTGTATTGTCTATCCATGAAAAACTATATATTCCATATTTTCTATTTAAGAATTTTAGTGTATTTCCCAATCCACCTATTAAAACAAATAAATTTCTTTTACCGAGTCAATTCCTATTTCTAATTTTCGGTCTTTATTCAGGTACAATATGAGCATTAGATTCCAAAACTCATAAGATAATTTTTCATACTTTATAGTATTTTTATTTCCAATTTTTAGGTAATTTGTTACAAGGGTCTCACACAAATTTTCACACACATGCAAATTCAATTTGCATTTAGGTTTTCTTCACTCTCTTAATTTCCTCATGAAATTTTTTTCTTTAATCAATTTATACGCAAATCACAACCTCCAAGTAACCGAAAACTCTCTTTTGCTACATTGGGTGCGTATCATAATTTCTTTATTTTTTTTCTTTTTCTAAAAATTTAATCTTTTTGTTTTTTCCTTTCAAAGTTTTTTTATGGACAGTTATTTTGCTATAAGAGAAGTTGAAAACCGTTTCTGGGTTTTGTTTTTTTTATCATCTGTGATACTTTGTTGATGATGATGATGATGATGATGACGTTGGTTTAAAGGGTATTTGATTTTTGTTGCAGGGATAGATAATTTATTCAATTTGATTTTTCTATCAGAATATTTCATTGAATGGAACAGTTGAATTTGGATGCAAATTCTGATGTTAAAGAGGTTAGATTTTCAAACCCTAATAATGTATGATCTGTGTAGACTTTATAGATTCTATGTTATGTTATTCCTCTATGTGTGAATCTCTTATCCTTGATTTTGTGGATCACAATTGTTGATGATCTTGTTATACTTGTTTATGGTATTTAGAAAATTTGTTTGTTCTTTTCTTTGTTTTGTTTTGTTGTGTTTATAACATTGTAATTTGTATCTATATTTCTGGATTAATTGATGATCCTCTTTCTAAACCCTTGATCTTTTTCTACAGATATGATTTTTTTTTTCTAATAGGGTTTGAAAAGTTTAGAGTTTTTTCATGTAATGCCTTTAATTAGCTTTTTGGAATAACCTACCTATGTGATATTGGTATCTCTTAATCATTTGGTCATCTCTTTGTTTTTTTAACTCGAAATTGTTATTTTGTTGTGTTTGGTTGACATTCATAGCTATTTCTTTTAATGGAATTGGGATCTTATGCAAAGTGATTTGAGTAGCATAGCAACCATTGATTTAGAGTTCTTACATATTTTTCAGGATGGTCCTCTTCGGCACAAGATGAAAAAGAACAATGCACTCGAGGCTTCTGAAAGTCTTAGAAGTAAAAAGGTATGTAGTTAGGTCTAATGTGTTGAGCACGCGTGAACAATTAGAATTTGTATTTTTCTTGCTATTCTTATGTTGGATTATTGTTGTCATGTTGTAGATATCTGCTAGATGGGATCCAGCCGAAGCATGTCGGCCAATAATAGACGAAGCACCTGTGTTTCATCCGACTATTGAAGTACTTTTTAAAATTTTTTTATAGCCATCTTTATATTGTTTATATGGTAGTACTATTGTGCTTTGTGTAATAGCTATGGTTTCTTATTTTTACTCTTTTTATGTAGGAGTTTGAAGATACTCTTAGTTATATTGCAAAGATACGCCCTCTAGCTGAACCTTATGGCATATGTAGGATTGTCCCTCCAGCTTGCTGGGTTCCACCTTGCCTTCTTAAGGAGAAAGATATATGGGAAAATGCTGAATTTTCGACCCGTATTCAGCAAATTGATTTACTTCAAAATAGAGAACCTATGAGGAAAAAGAGTAGGGGAAGGAAACGAAAACGTAGAAAGAACTCCAAAATGGGAACATGTAGGAGAGTTTCCAATTCTGCTTCTGAGTCTAATAAAGCTTGTGAAGCTGAAGAGAAATACGGATTCCAATCAGGGTCAGACTTCACGTTTAAAGACTTTCAGCAGTATGCTAGTTACTTTAAGGAATGCTACTTTGGGTTGAAAGATGCCCATGATAACGACAAACTCAGTGATAGTAACCGCCAAAAGAGACCGGAGCCCTCCGAGGAGGAAATTGAAGGTGAATACTGGCGAATAGTTGAGCAACCAACTGATGAAGTTGAGGTATTATTTCTTATCATTCTTTGTTGTTTCGTAATTGCGCAAACAAAATAAATGACACACTCTTATATTGTAGGTGTTTTATGGAGCCGACTTGGAAACTGGAGTATTTGGAAGTGGTTTTCCTAAGGCATCATCCTTAACTAAGGGTTATCCAGATCAATATGCCCTTTCTGGTTGGAATCTAAATAACTTTCCACGACTACCGGGTTCTGTACTAAGTTTTGAAGGAAGTGACATATCAGGAGTACTAGTTCCATGGCTGTATGTTGGCATGTGCTTTTCATCATTTTGCTGGGTAAGTGGTGAGGATTATTTTTCCTTTCAAGTCCGAACAACGCAAAGTTTAAGACACGGCATGGAATATTATCAATTTTTATTTATTTTTATAATAGTGTGTCTTTTTACATTCAAAATAGAAAATTGCGTGTTTTTATCTTGAATTTTACATTTATTTTGTTTCCAACCCAAATAGTTTCCTAGAAAGATAACACGTTGTCACCATTTCTTGGTTGTAACAGCATGTTGAGGATCATCACCTCTATTCGCTTAATTATCTACATTGGGGTGACCCAAAAATATGGTATGGAGTACCTGGAAGCCATGCTTCTGCTTTTGAAGATGCAATGAAGAAGCACTTGCCTGATTTGTTTGAAGAACAACCTAATCTACTCAATGATCTGGTATAATGTTATGACTTTAATTTCCTATTGCAGGAACGCGAGTTCGAACCTGCTGCATCCCACTTATTTATTTTTAAAGAGTGAATAATGCTATAATTTTGTATGGCCTGCAAAATTTTGATTTTCATCTTCGTGCAGGTAACACAGTTATCTCCAACAATTCTTCAATCTGAGGGAGTTCCCGTTTATCGCACCGTTCAGCATTCTGGGGAATTTGTCATTACCTTTCCAAGGGGGTATCACTCTGGGTTCAATTGTGGTTTCAACTGTGCAGAAGCAGTGAATGTAGCTCCTGTTGATTGGTTAATGCATGGCCTGAATGCTGTCGAGCTTTATAGTTTACAACGCCGCAAGACATCATTGTCACATGACAAGCTCTTATTTGGATCATCATTAGAAGCTATACGAGCCCTTGCAGAGTTAACTCTTCATGGAAAGGAAAGTCCAAAAAATTTGAAGTGGAAAAGCGTATGTGGGAAAGATGGAGTTCTTACTAATGCATTTAACGTAATGATGATTTATCCCCTCCTCTTTGATCAACCGTTTTTTTAATACTGATAATAATTCCCTTAAAAGCAAAAAAATTATCAATTTCATTGGTTTGTGTAAATCAACCTTAATTGACACTTTTGGAACAGAGGTAGTACTGTTTTAGTTACCGTGCAGAAATCGGATTCCTTATTAATTTTTCTGGTTACCCATTTTTATGACAGGCAAGAATAAAGATGGAAGCAGAGAGACTAGCCTGTCTTCCAACTCATTTTAATGTGCTGAAGATGGCCAATGACTTTGATTTGCATACCGAAAAAGAATGTTTCTCTTGTTTCTACGACTTATACCTCTCTGCTGTAGGTTGCAAGTGCTCTCCTGATCGATATTCCTGTCTTAAGCACGCAAGTTCGCTCTGCTCATGCGAAATGGACAAAAGATTTGTTCTGCTTCGACATAATATGAATGAGCTAAACAAGTTGCTTGAAGCACTAGAAGGAGATTCACATACTCTTGAGTTATGGGAAAATAGAAACTTCGGAATGGTTTCTACCGAGGCCAATGAGGAGGAGGGAGACAAAGGTCTCAGAGAAACCAAGGATAGTTCAAATAGTCATGTTTCTTCAGAGCCAATGCAGTGTGAATCTCACCCTTTAACTCTTAGTGCACCAAATGAAAGTATAGATAGTGATAATGACAATAAAGTAATTGTAGACAAAGGTGCGGTGAACCACGCAGCTTCTCTAGATTTGAACCTTGATCTTATATCTGGTGACAATGAAAAGCATTTGCTGCATATTGCAGAGAACCATCCCGACAAGAGTGATTCAACAGAGGAAAAAGTAAGCTGTTTAGAGAGCCAAAAGGAACAAACCAACATGGAGTTTGTTGGTATGGGTGACCTATCACATTCATTTTCTGTTGTGAAGACAGAAGTTTCATCATGCTCAAGAGATATTCACAATCCTTGTACATCTGATGATGGAAAATATGAGGTGGATCTGCAAATTGATTCAGAATCAAGGAAGAAACCCAAAATTGCGTGTGAAAATACGAGTATATCTTTGACACGGGAGAGCTGCCTAATGCAAATTTTCGGTGCTTCTGTCAAGCCTATAAGTTTGGGATCTGTTGTTCATGGAAAGCCATGGTCCAGTAAAAATGCAATATATCCAAAAGGTATGCTGTAGTCAGATCTTCTCCGATCTTAGATTTTACCATTCATTAGATACTTTGGAAGTTTAACTTTAAATTGTTTTGGTAAACTTTTGAAGGATTCAAGAGTCGAGTTAATTTCTTTAATATACTCAATCCAACAAGAATCTGTAGCTATGTTTCTGAAGTCATTGATGCTGGACTTCTTGGTCCTCTTTTCAAGGTATCATACTTGATCTTGTTTCTGTTTGAGTTTATTAATAGAATCATATTGAGAAGTTTCTATTTGTTGACCTCTGTCATTTACAGTTCATTGCCGCAATCTTAGATTGTCTCCTAGAATTAATTATATCTTTCTTATTCCATAAAATGTTTCAGGTTACAATGGAAGAATGTCCGAGGGTCACTTTCACGGACACCTCAGCAGATAAGTGTTGGGAATCAGTTCTAAAAAGACTGCATAATGAAATTATGGAGCGAAGAAATCGAGGTGAACATGAACTTCCTTCCTTAGAGCTTCTGAACAACATTAATGGTCTTAGAATGTTTGGCTTCCTTTCGCCGTCCATTATTCAGGTAATGTAAACACATGAATCTTATTTATGATTTGGGTAAATTTAAACGACACTTCTTGAATATGTTGACTTATGTTCCGACAAACATTTTCAGACCATTGAAGGTCAAGATCCCGGTCATCAGTGTGCAGAGTATTGGAATCACAAAGTTTTCCCTACATCTCCAGGCAGTGTCATCGATAACTGTAATGTCCTATGTTGTTCAACTTCAAGCAGCCCTTTAGATATTAACGTCAACATCAAAGTTTTCGGTATCAATTTGATTGATCATCATACAAAGGAAAACACAAGAGGAAGTTATCATTCAGAGATGAAATCAATACTACAAAAGGCTAGTCCTGGTGAGCTAAACTTGTTGCACAAGTTACTTATCTCGGACTCACAGTGCTCTGAGTGGAGAATGACATTGACGTCACTGATGGATGAGATCCAGAAAGGTTTGTAGATAGAACAAGAATAAGATCTCGATTCTTTCTGACTTTTCAATTTAGTCACAAGTTAGGTTCATTCTTTTAGCGATAAATTGAACCAAGGAAGTTTCTGGGTGAAAGCCTAGATAAAATTTTGGTACTTACCTACAGTATCATTGACCCAATTACAGATGCATTTTGCCATTGACCCTTTTAAGTTTTTCTTTTGGATTTGCCTTTTAAGTTCAAACCTTTAAGCTTTTTTTACTGGATTTAGGTTTTACATTTTATTTCCTTTCTCTCTAAATTATGTATATAAACAGATAAACAAATGCAACTGTTACAATAAAACGGCTCCTACTCAATACATTTTTTTTCCAGTTGTAGTATTTAATCACACGCATATGCATATTCACCTAGCAGCATATTGTTTTCATGTAGCTTCAAAAAGTAAAATAAAATAATTTTTTCTCAATTTTTTAAAAGTCTCTTGAAATGTTAAAAATTTTTTTTGAAAATATTTAAATTTTAGAATCCAAACATGATGAATATATTAGAGTACAAGAGGAGTTCTAGTAGTTCTAACTAAGTATTAACTGAAGCAACTGATTCGACACATTTAGGTTTAGCTATAAATGCGTAGTTGCACATTCAATGTAACTAACTTTGTGAAGCTGAAATCAAATTCAGTTAGATCTAACTGACTCGACTCTCCTTTCTCTCTTCTCTCTTTTCATGTTTTCCTCTCTCCTTTGTTTTTAATATGGTATCACGAGCTTGATTTGATCTATTATCCATGACTTTCAATGCTACCTCAAGCAATACTACACACAACATTGTATGCGAGACTTCGTCTGCCCTAACTCTCAATTTAAAGAATGTGTTTAAAACGTTCACACAGTAGGTGATACTCAAACTTGACAAAAACAATTTTTGATCGTGGAAGCAATAAATCGAAGGTATTATTCGGACGCACAAGCTTCAATGCCTTCTGGTGAGTCCAATCATACCTCTATGTTATCTAACTAAAGAAGATCGTATGAATGATGCTGAAAATCCTACGTATACGACATGGGAGCAACAATATTCTACCACATGTGATTCGATGCATTCATTTGGGATGAAGTTCACAAATATATTTTGGTGCACACCAATGCCAAATTGAGATAATTAAGATTAGAACTAAAGTCCACCAAACAAGGTGAGAAGTCTATTGCTGAATATTTTGCTAAAGATTCAATATATTATTTACATTCTTGATTTGATTGACGATTCGATCTCACATTCTGATCAACTTGAAGCAATTCTAGATGGATTTCCTATTGATTACAATCCCCTAACTTCTATCATTTAGTATCGTCCGATTGTATGTCCTATAATTGAAACTGAGTCAATGCTTATCTCACATTAAGCAAAACTAGACAAATCTAAGAAAAACTTTATGTCTGAACCTCTTTCTATCAATGTTGCCCAAGTCAATCCTCTAACTTCTCATTCCACAAATTAGGGTAACTTTGACTCCTCCAATGTGTCTTAGTTCAATTCTATCTCCAATTTTACTTAATCTCGTTGTGGTTTTTGTGGTGGCTGCGACTTTAATCATGGTAGAGGTGGTAGGTTTGGAGGAAGATTCAAAGTCCAGGGTGTAATATGCTTTAAATTCGGTCATGATGCTAGAATTTGTTATCATATGCATTAATCTATGATGCCTCCAATGTGGAATAGTTATTCTCCTATTGATATGTAAAGGCCTAACTGGAATCATTAGACAAAAAGTTACTCTCAGGTTATACATACAACTAGTCTAAATCAGTAACTCACTCTCGCCCTAAGAGGACCTTCACCATGCTTTACTCAAAGACATGTATATCAACCCAATGCCTATCTTACAAGGACTGGATATGAGACACCAAATACCTTCAATTAACACACACACATAGCTAGTACCCTGACTCAGGTGCCACTCATGATGTTACCAACAATGTTAATTATCTTTTAGAAAGCATGACTCTCCCTGGAACTGATCAAGTCCTACCGAGCATTGGTTAAGGTTTTCCAATCATCTCCGTTAGCACTGTTTATTTTCCCTCTTCTCACACCACACACCACTTTTACACTCAAGAACTTGTTGCTAGTTCCTGTGTTTTTTGAGATAACAAGGTATTTTTTGAGTTCCATGTTGATCAAATCACATGTCAACTCTGAGGTAGTCCTTTAAAGCGCTCTAAATAAGGATGTCTTGTATACTTTTGACTCTCTTCAAGCTGCTACATGACATGCTATTTCAATCAATAATGGCACAAAAGGTTCTCTTCTTAACACCACTTCGACTAGTCCCTCTACTAGTAGCATGTGGTATAACAGACTTGGACACTCTCATCATGTGGCTCTAAAATCTACTCCCAGTCTATGAAAACTCATATTCTTAATAAGTATATTAGTAAAATACCTGTACAGACGCTGTAAGTAGAGATTGCACGTAAGGGAGAGAGAGGGGGGGGATGAATTAGGTACTTTGATCAATTTTTGGTTTATTGAAATTATGCTTTTAACTTTCTAGTTTTGTGATGATTTAGAAAACGGTAAAGTGTAAAAATGTAAAGAACAGACGATGTATCCTGAATTTTATGCTAGAAGTTGAAGTTGGATGATATGTATCAATCACTAGAATTGATCTTCTCTATCAAGTAAGCAATTCACAATATGTTATACAAGTGCTCAGAATTAATGTTGAAACTTTAAATGATGCAATGAAGATTAATATAATAAATTTCACACAAAGTTTGTATCACAAGACACTTGTTTGAAATTTTGAGAGAGCAATGAGTTTGAATTGCAATGAAAGAGGTAAGTTTTCAAAATATGATAAGTATGGTAGTTATACTACCACAAAACCTCTCTGAAAGTGCATGTAATCATGAAAAGATGTCAGTGCTCGAGGGATGAAAAATTAAGTTTGTTAAAATAAGATTTTGAATGAAAGAATGTCACTGCTTCAGTGGTAACCGATTACCAGAAATGGTGTAACCGATTACACCTGAAGTGGTATAAAAAAATGAAAATTTTGTGTGTGCAACCGGTTATCGGGAATGGTGTAACCATTTACACCTGACATTGCCAAACTAATTATGCAAAATTTCGTTCATGTAACCGGTTATCAGGAATGATGTAACTGGTTACACATGACTTGAAATTGAAAAATACCTCAAAAAATGAGTTTCACGGCCAAGTTCCAATAACACATTTTGATTCGGAAATGCATCAGATGGATGTTAAGACAACTTTTCTTAATGTTGATCTTAATGAGGAGGTGTACATGTAGCAACATGAGGGTTTTGTATCAAGTGCTAATAAGCATTTGGTTTGTAAATTTAAAAAAAAATCCATTTATGGTTTGAAACAGGCTTCTAGACAATGGTACTTAAAATTTGATGATGTGGTGACTTTCTTGGGTTTCGAAGAAAATAAAGTTGATCAGTGTATCTATCTTTAGGTCAGTGGTAGAAAATTCATCTTTCTTGTGTTATATGTTGATGATATTTTGCTTGCCAGTAGTGATCTTGGTCTACTTCATGAGACCAAACTTATGCTAACCAAGTTCTTTGGTATGAGAGATATTGGTGAAGCATCCTTTGTGTTGGAAATTGAAGTACACAAAGATAGATCATATGGTGTGCTTGGTTTGTCACAAAGGGATTATATTGATAGCGTTTTGGAGAGGTTCAATATGCAGAACTGAAAGCCAGAAGATGTTCCAATTACTAAAGGAGACAAATTCAGTAAAGATCAATGTCCTAAAAATGAGATTAACGGGCATAGATGAATGGAAAACCCCTTGATAGTGCATTGTGAAGCCTGATGTATGCTCAAGTATGCACGAGGCCTAACATTGCTTTCATAGTTGGTGTCTTGGGACGATATCAGTCTAATCCTGGGAATGATTATTGGATTTTTGCTAAGAAAGTGATGAGATATTTATAGAGAACTAAAGAGTATATGTTTGTTTTTAGGAGAGTTGACAACTTAGAAATAGTTGGGTATACTGACTCTGATCTTACCGGGTGTGTTGGTGATAGGGAATCTACTTCTGGTTACCTTTTTATATTGGCTGGAGGTGTGATATCATGGAAGAGTAAAAAGAAAACTCTTGCTGCCTCTTTTACTATGCAGTCAGAGTTTGTTGCTTGTTATGCCGCTGCCACTCATGTTGTTTGGTTGAGAAATTTATTGAATAAACTTCGTATTGTTTATTCCATTGTAAAACCACTAAAGCTTTACTGTGATAAAAATGCAATTGTGTTATACTATAAGAATAATAAAACTTTTAGCGGTTCTAAACATTTGAAATTAAAGTATTTGACAGTCAGAGACCTTAAAGAAAATGACCTTATTATTGAGTACGTTGGTACTGATTTCATGTTAGATGATCCCCTAACTAAGAGAATTAGGCCCATTGTGTTCAAAAACCATGTTGAGAGCATGAGCATTGTGAGTTCTTTTGATGTACTTGGTTAGTGGGAGTTTGTTCTTCATACCTTTTTCTTATCATGTTGTATTTTATTGTGAACACTTTAAGTGTTGGGTTTCAAGTACTTTCTATTTGAGCACTTGATATTATAATAAATATTATTATTACCTATCGATCTAACATTAGCCTAGCAGCCACGTATGATTAGAGTCTCATCATGTTTTTGTTTCGAACTATGCTTATTTCTTTTTACAGTGTTGGTTGGTTGCTTGAGGACAAGCAATGGTTTAAGTATGGGGGTGTTTGATGACGCGAAATTGTATCGTTTATTTGGCTTGAATTACATGCATTTATTTGTGACTAATGTTAATTTATCTTGATTTATGTTCTAGTTTATGGTTAGTTTACTTCGTTGTGCAGATTGTGGAGAATTTGGATTAAAGAAAGAAAAGAAGAAGAAATGGAAGGAAAATAGAGAAGAAAAACAGAAAATAATAGAGAAATGGATTTTGTGCGTGTGACACTCGTCACAGCTTTCTCATGGTCTTCACGACCGTCACAAACCCT